ATTCAGGGTCTTTGAAGGCTTCCCAAGGCAAGGGCAAACCATCTAGGAAGTCTTTGCTAAAACTGTGGAGAATTTATAGGGTATTTAGAGGATGAATTTGTGGGGAATTCATGGGAAATTAGAGGAATGTACCCATAAGAAATTGGAGCAATTTATTGGTTTTAACACAGCGTAATAAAAATAAAAAAATACATTTCTTATGAACAATTTTGGGGATTTTCAGGGAATTTGTAACAGGCATTCGAAGGGAATTTGCGAGCAGTTTGGAGGAATTTTTGGGGACTTCGCAGGAAGTTTAAGGAATTGTTTGCACATATTCAGGGAGTGGTTTGTTCCATAGACCTTGTTCACCTTGGTGAAAATCAAACCTCGAAAAAAACTTTGAGGCTTGAACAGCTAAAAACTTTTCAAGCTGCATTGAAATTATTCACAAAGGATTTGTAGAGGATTTAATTGGCTTTATTTCAAGCCTAATTACGTTACGATCGGATTGAAATTGACAAAGTAATGAGACAAAATGTGGTTCAATGTCATTTTGGAAAAAATCATACTTCAACAAACGAGATTAAAGGACTCTTAATTTTTTTTGAGGAAAGTGTTTGGAGGATTGGCTTGAAATTTTGCAAGTGGATGAAAAAAAGATTGAAATTCAAGAAAAAAAATAAAAAATTGCTTTTGCGCGCAAACCTTGATAAAAATCAAAGTCCAAAGTCTTTAAAGCTTTGCAGCTACGAAACTATTGAAGCTGCATTGAAAATACTCGAGAGGGATTTGTAAAGGATTTCATTAGCTTCATTTCAAGCCTAATTATGTTAAGATCGGATTGAAATTAACAAAGATGTGAGGTAAAATGTGGTTCAATGTCATTTTGGAAAAATCAAGTTTCAAAAAACGACATTAAAGGATGTTTAATTTTTTTTTAGGAAAGTGTTTGAAGGATTGGCTCGAAATTTTGCAAGTGGATGAAGAAAAGATTGAAATTTAGGAAAAAATAAAAATTTCCTGATCGTTTCACCTTTAAGGAGCAAACCACCTACGAATACTTTGCCAAAACTGTGGGAAATTAAAAGTAATTTGTGGGGAATTGAAAGGAATTTGTGGGGAACTAAAAGGAATTTGGAAGAATATATGTGGGGAACTTGAAGGAATTTATGGGGAATTGGAGGAATGTATGAGACATTGGGGGAATTTATTGGTTTCAACACTGAGCGTAATAAAAATAGAAATAGTTATTTATGCAACAAGTGTATAAAGTGAACATTTTTTCACGAATGTGAATTTTGACGCACGAGCCGAAGGCGAGTGCGACAATCACATGAGTGAAAAATAGCTATTTATACAATAAGTTACGAAATGAGCGTCTTTTAGGCACGCGACGTGAAAATTGTCCAACGAGGCAAAGCCGAGTTGGACAACACGTCGAGTGACTAAAAGACATCGTTTCGTAACGTATTGTATACAAGATTTTTTCTACTGGCATTTTATAATAAAAAAACACAATTTTATTTCATGTGAATAAGTCGATTACACCCAAAATCTTTGTTACCTGCTTTTACTTGACACCTGACACTTTTCATGCGATTTTCTTTTCAAAATTCGACATCAATAATTAAAATCCTAGAAAGTAGGTAATAACACAAAGTTCTGTTTTGAGTAACCCAAACGTTCAATTCAGTAATTCCATTTTCAATATTCATAATAAATACAAAACAAAATTCAAATATGTGTTTAGTGTGTTTTTTATTTCTGAATAATGAATGACACTTTTAGGCACTAGTGCTTAAAAATTACTTTTACGCACTCATAAGTCACTTTTACGCATTCAAAAGTCACTTTTACGCACTGAGTGCCTAAAAGTAACTTTCACGCACTCAGTGCCTAAAAGAATGTCGTTTCAAAACTGAAATGACAATCGAAAAGTTGCTATTATGAAACGTCAGTAGAAAAAGGTACTTTACGCACGTATTGCATACAAATTTTTTTCTACTACCAATCAAATATGTATAAAAAAATAAATTTAGAAAAATTCTTCACGCACTAGTGCGTAAAGTATTTTCACTTTACGCACTAGTGCGTGAAATAATTTACCAGAAAAATAGTAATTTGACAGGTCGACATCTGTCATTGACATTGCTTTACGCACTAGTGTGTGAAGTGAACTACTTCACGCACTAGTGCGTGAAGTGTAATTTTACGTAGAAAAAATAAATTTCGAACAGCTTTTGGTTTTTTATGGAATTGTAACAGGCATTTGCAGGGAATTCGCGAGCAGTTTGGATCAATTTGCAGGGAATTTGGAGGAATTTGCGGGTATTTTGAGGAATTGTTTGCATAAATTCGGGGGGCTGTTCTACCCCTTGCTCCAAGGTCTAAAGCATCTGACCAGCCATCTGACTGACAATTCACAAGTGTACTTTCTAGGGAGTATCACTTGATAGGCATGCAAAAACCAATACTTGAAATGTGGGTGATTCATAAAGAAGGCATGATGACTCTTCTAAGTAAGAAATTAGCAACTTCCTCCTTGCTAATAATTGCTCAGACAAATTCAAATAGTCCAATATTGATCTGTTCTATGTTGTAACGAAAGATATAGTCTGAAAGCAAGGTAGCAGAAATAATACAGCAATGTTAGGTACTTTCATCAAATATTTTTTTCAAGACAGAATTTGTAGCACTAAGTGAATCTGGATCACCAGATCCAAAGATGTATCGGAATGGGTACATAGTGTCTTGGATATAATGGATGTTTGTGGGGAATTCGAAACCCTCAGGAACCTGGAGCAAATAAACGTGCTTTGATACAACTGATACGGTCTTGGAAACAGAGGGAAATTAATTAGGAGAGCGTCCGAATGCCACATCTAGACTAGACTAACCCAAAGAAACGATCAAATAAGCTACACTGAACGAAATTAAAATAAACGACAACCAATAAGATGCTAGTTTCAAAGTTTCAAAACAATGAAGGCTGAATGATCTATCTAAAAGAGGATCTATGATATCGGGTCTTCAAAAAAAAAAAACAATCAAAGATTGCTATGATTTTTTAAACGTACGTCTTAGCAATATTTTTCTTTAATTTTGACAATGTCAGTCAATGAAATTTAATGTCAAAATGTCATGTCAAAAATTCTGGCCAATAAAGAAACAATAATCCGACGTACGTTTTCGTAACCAAAGCAATCTTTGATTGTTTTTTTTTTTTGAAGACCCGATATCATAATACCAGAAATTTAGGCTCTCCAGTGACTATTCAACAAATTAGATTATTTTTTCCGGCTTCGATTCGTATAGAATGGATCAATTAGTTTAAAATCTAGAGGAGGTGGAATTTGGTAGCAATAAAAAATCCAATAAGTCTTACCTCAATAGCTTTGTGGTACCTATAGGTACTGGTAGAGGCAGATGAAATTTTCTCGAGAAAGCCCTAGAAATTTTAGAGAAGTCTTGAACATTTGAACAGAACTCAAAGTGTCGTTAACTTTCTTAAGACCCCCTAAAAACAACTTGCCTTTTTTTTTTAATAAGATGGGTTAAGGGTATTTTTAAGATTACCAAAACTACTCGGAGTAAATATTTTTAAATCTGAACCTCAATTTAAACATCCTATAGGGTGTGGACTTTTTTGTTCGACAACCGACAACGCAACTTACCATGTAACTTCAAGGAGGAAGTTTTTGGAAAAATTTGCCAATACTTCTTCTAATTTTACCAAAAGCTCATATACCTACAGTGTGTATCAGCCAAGTGAAATAAATTCGATAATAAATAAATGGGGCCCTTTTTTACACAAAGTTTTTTTTTATACAGGGCGTTCCGAAAACAGCTATGCCGGTATCCGCTTTATTTATTTTTTAAATGGCACTTTGTGAAATTTGTGCATTCTATAGGAAAAATTCTAGACATATTTATACAGTGTGTCCGTAAAGTAACGGACTTTATTTGGAAAAACGCTCGGACACGTCAATCTTAATTTAAGTGGCATTTGTAATTATACAAGGTGAGATATCACGTGACACTTTAATTTTTCAAATGGTTTGCCCTGTATATATTGATGAATATCGATAGAGCGCATCGTGATTCGCTCATTGATAAATTGTTCAAGAAAAATTCTGATCTGAAAATAAATGTGTTTTTGAATTAATGAGTAAAGATTGTGACCTAAAGTGAGTGAGTTTTTGAACTAATGAGTGCAGATTCTGACCTAGAAATGAGTGTTCTGATATAAGAATGAAGAGTTTTTGAACTTATCATTATAAAGATTCTGATTTGCAAATGAGCGAGTTTTTGAACTAATCAGTAAAGATTCTGAATTTAAAATGAGTGAGTTATTAAACTAACGAGTTTTCATGAAGAATTGCTGTGTAAGTCCCTTTTACCATGGGGATTAATGTATATAGGATTTCCCTGACATCGAAGGATATCCATGAAGATCTATGGAGTTACAAAGATCTCCACATTTTTTGTCCTTAAAAATCGTAAGCCACTGTGCAAATCTTCCGTCCTACGGGATGGAGATCCGTGAATAACTGTGAAAATCCATGGACTTCCGTGGAGATATATGGATATCCGATGGAGATCCATTTGGCTGATGCCTGATACACACTGTATCTATCTTTTATCAAAAAAATCGACAAGAAACTTTCTAGACATCCATAAAAATTGAATATTCTACCTATATAAAAAATATTTTCTCACATACACACCTTCCTCTAAATCTCTAAGAGATGATTGGGTTGGAAGATGTGTCAAATTTACCTAATTTCGCCAAAAGTGGCCTATCCTGTCTTAAAAATCTTTTTTTTCACAAAAAAAATACTCAAAAGGTATCCTAGAAAGTTAGGAGAAATTTCAGAAGAATGTTTGTTGGAAAACCTTTTCAAGTTGTGTGTTACTTTGGGATTTATAGTAGAAACTTATTATAAGAACTTCAAGAGAGGGAAAACTTTTACAAACTGCACTAAAAATCTAAAATATACAATCATTTCAAATATTACCTTGTAAATAATCTCCACAACTATGCTCAGCACTTTCCTCAACACTTTCTTTCAGCATTTCATTATTCGCTATATCTGGCGAGTACCGAGAAGAAAACAGTTCATCACTTGTACTAACACTTTCCGAAAACTCAGAACTACCCTCGTTTGCCGACAATTGATTCGACCTATTATAACCCAGATTACCAATACTCAATAATTGTTTTTCACAATTATTCGCTTCTGGAAACTCCGATCGTTTCTCACTAGTTTGCGAAGCCAAAAGAGAATCGATCAGAAAACTCCTGGATTTCAACGAACAACTTTTAACGGTCGTTTCGGCAACTTTAATCTCATCCATGATGTTTAAACAAGATATAATCCAGAGTAATTATTCGCTCTGGTTTGAAAACTATATGTAAACATCGGCTGAAAACCGGCGAATGCCAGGATGTGACTTTTCGGTTTCAGACCAATCCGAACAGAGAAGGCGTGGTTTTCAGGAAAGATGTGCTTCACGATGAGAGGATTAATTAAGATTAATAGCTAGCCGCGAGCTATTTATAATTTGCCTGCTTTAAACGATAATTAGGATAGACGATATATCGGGGTTGACTTTAACGTGTGTAGGACACGGACATATTTTTGGCTAATTGAACTATTTTGTGTTTTATTTTATTACAAAGTATCTAATAACTGTCCCATACAAAGATGAATCTAAATTTATACAATGAAGTCATCTCTCATTTGAGGCCCTGATATTTTCATAACAAATTTTTGTGGAGTAACTAATTATTTGAAAGTTCTAGTATTTTCTACAGGCACCTTGAAAATTTGAAAATTTTAGAGGTATTATGCTGATGTATAACTCTCACAGAGATGCATCCTCTTGTTCTGTACCCAAGATTTCTCGAAGTAAGTTCTCATAAAATTTTAGCCAAAATTCCGTTTCCTCATCCAGCCATTCCAAACGATCAATTAATAATTTTATAATTGAAAAAATCTGCTTCTATATTCCTCATTTATCCCGTCAGTCGAAGCGCCACTTAACAGCAGGTCAAAATTTAAAAGGAGAAAAAAATGACACGGATAATTAACCAGAAGCAGATGTTATATTTCACCAATTAGCCGGTTATAAATCATTTAAAAGGTGCCACCGAATGAATTTGGAATTCCTGTTTGGCGGTGTGACTAAAAACAAAATTAAAATATTATTACGAAAACTGTCAAGGATTTACTGCTTTATTAGCAGGAACTTGAGAGAGAACATTTTAAATATTATGACTTTGTTGTTATTCAAGTAACTAATTTTATTAGACTGGAGCGTTGTTGGTTTAACATATTATCAGTCCAATGTAATTGATCAGAGTACGTTTTTTTTTTAATTTTTGTTGTAATTATAAAACAGACGATAAATGCACTGAGTCTTCGGTTTGGTTTGAAATTGTAAAGTTGTCACTTCCTTAGCTTCTCTTTGGATAGGTTTGGTATGTACTTCTCCCAGCTAAAAATATATACAAAAAATTAAATTAAGGAATTAAATATATCACTTTATTCAAATATTATTCAATACGAATTTGGATATTTTGACAGAGTTTTGTTCTACATAGAAACAACTGAAGAAGAGATCAATGATCAGCGTCAAGAAAAAAACTTGGAATTTTCTAAATTATTTCCTCCTGGGAATTTCTGATTCAATTCAAGGAATCTGGATCATTTCATCATTTTCTAGAGATCATTCCATTTTTCAAAAGTTCTTGTAAACATCCAATTTTCAAAGGGGGGTCTATTATAATTTTCTCTATTTTAGCGATTTATGAAGACAAAGAGAAGGAATCATCAAAAATCTGATGGTAGAGAAGTTAACTGATGTTTTATTCTTGGACTACGACCTCAAAATATTGAATATTAACGAGAATATTAACAGAGCTTCAGAAATGATGAAAAATAGAAAGTTATTCAATAGTCTATTAGAATTAGAATATTACTGCTATTTTGTATTTTGTCGTCTTCAGTAATCGGACCTAAAACTCTACAGTAAACAATCAATTTACTACATTCGTCCCGATACAGTCATGGTAGATTGATATAAAGGTCTGTAACATCAAATTTCTGGTCTCTTGTAATCGGCATATAGATTGGAAGAATCATCTATTCTGTCCAATCCAGACAAACAAAATCAACTTTTTTTGGTCAACTACCTTGAAACTAATGCTTACCAGATGGTTGTTTTTCCAACACGTTTCCGGAATGACCAAGTTTCTCTACTGCTATATAACTTGGAACTTGATCCCCCCCATGGGAAAGAGCGGCCATGTCGTTATCATTGGAAAAAGTCAACTAAAATGTAAACGGAGTCCAACGAAAACCGCATTGAAACGCAACTTCTTCATTGCCGGCTATGAAAAAATCAATAGTTTTCTGGCTGAGCAAAATTTGGCTGTATCGGGTGATGCGTTCCATACGTGCATGTCAATTTTAAACAATGCTATAGACAAGTCCATTCCGTTGAAAACATGTAAAAAAATCCACAGAAACCATGGCTAAACCAGTTCATATTAAAATAAATAGAAAAGAAACGAGGTCTATATGGGACAAATACAGAAAATCAGCTAGAGGCAAACGAAACAACTACCTTACAAATGTAATTAGAAAGTCAAGAGAATGCAACATTGCTTCTCAGAGTTCAGATAAAACATTTTTCAAGTATGTCAATAAAACACTATCATCCAAAGTTTTAACAATAACATTAAAGAATGAATCAGATGAACTTTTGACTGACGACTTTGATGTAGCGGAATGCTTTGCAAACCAATTTGAAAAGGTATTCACCAAAGGAACTCAAAACGAAATGCCACTAATCTCGGTATGTCTACGTGCAACTTCACAGATGTCAAATATTGACTTATCTCCTGCTAAGGTGTATAAAGCAATAAAATCGTTGAAGATTCCAGCCCAGGCCCTAATGGAATTCCAGCAGTGTTCCTGCAAAATTGTGCAGCCGTCATGAGCCAACCCTTGTCTGATCTCATGAAAAGTCATTTTGAAGTTTACAACTTTCCTGAGACTTGGTCAACAATTGTAGTGAAACAGTTAACCCCATTTTTACTAGAGCAAAATCCATTACCGAAGCACCAACATTGCTTTCTTCCAGGGGGTTCTACTACAACCAATCTCACTATGCTTGGGCGATTGGATAGGGTACTTTGAGAATAACGAGCAAGTGGATGTCATATATCTCGATTTAGAGAAGGCGTTCGATAAGGTGTGCCACAGCTGTCTCCTGTATAAATCACATCACTTTGGCATTGCTGGGAGCTTGCTACAATTTGTATCAAATTTTCTATTGAAACGTAAGAATAAATGCAACATTTTCAGACAGAAGAAAAGTTCGTGGGGTGCCCCAAGGATCAGTACTGGGCCCTCTACTTTTTCTAGTATATGTCAGGGATATGACATCAAATATCCAAGCCAAAATCCTATCTTTTGCTGACGACACGAAATTATATGCAAAGGCCGCAGCACACAAGAAATTGCAAGAAGATCTCAGAGCTATAGAAGTGTGGTCCAATACCTGGAAAATAAGGCTTAACGAAGAAAAATTTGAGCATTGGGACCAATACCACCGAGAATACCACTGAAAATGTCTACAAAATAAACAATGTTGAGCTGAAGCCGAGTTTATAAATTGTAATGATCATTCTCAAATCTCAAAATCAGAAATATTCCAGGTTTTTCAACACATTTTCGAAACAATCTGGAATCGAGGTTTTGTGCATTTCAGCAAGGATTTATTTATCTCAATATTTATTATACCTTATTCCTTATTGATGAATCATCACTATGATGAAGTAATAAAAAAAAGGGACCAGGGTAATGTAAACAAGCTTGTTCCTTTCTTTTTTTATCTATTTTAATATTCGTCATTCGGAATTCAGCAGTAGATTATTTACCATGGAGGAATACGACGCTATTAAAAAAATAGAGTATACATATAAGCATTTCGAGTTTAGTGAGTATTTTTGACCGAATTTTCTAATAACTGATTAGTGTACAAATTATTAAATTTCGTAAGTACCAACAACTATTTATAGCCATCTAATCCTGTCCTTCATAAACTTTCCAAAGGAATTTACCTTCTGTTTTTTTTTTTAAGGGGTGATAAGTACAGAAATCAGAACTTTGATAAGCTACTTCTAGGGTTTGTTTGTTTGTGTTGTTCGGGGCAGCACTTCCTGCTTTGGGGCGTTCGTTTGTGAGTGTTTTATATGGGTGTATCTGCTATAATCTGAAATATTACAGCTTAGTTCAAGTTAGTGCGACATAAACAAACAAACCTTTTGTTGGGCAAGTTTGGTATTGGGCTTTGAGCATTCGGCTATAAATGTTTTCAATAACTTCCTCTTCAAATGATTACCATTTTTTAACAATAATTATTGAAGTTGCGTTTCACGTTTCACTGATATTCAGGACAACAATTCGTGGTTTGATTATTTCTTTTTGGTAATTGGTGTCCCCTGGGGAAGCCGTCCACCATAATAGGTTAGGATCCCATTTGTTGCACGATTATACTATTTAAGGTAAGTGTAGCAGTGGGGCACTACCGAATGCCGGCGAGAAATGGTTGAATTATGATTTGCTGTTGGATGTGAGCTGCACAATGTGATTCCAAGTGGATTAAGCCTACTGGGTCATATACCAATAGCCGAATGCTAAAGAACTTTGCCAGGCAAACCTTAGGATCTATAGATTTCTAAAAACTTTGAAAGGTCATAACTTTATTTCTAATATAGATAGAAAGTTGAAATTTTTAGCGAACAACATTTTCAAGAAAGATGCACTGATACCAAAATTAGAAGAAAAATCGCTGAGGTCGAATGAAGAATTAGAAAAAATGAAAACTTAGGTATATTTAAAAATACGAAGAAAAATAATTAATTTGTTATGCTAATTTTAACCAAATACGTATTTGAAAAAAAAACTTATGTCTTAACATAACTTTCGAGTAAAATACCGAATTATTGAGGCACGACGAACACCATAACCTTAAGCATTTCCCATCCTTATCAAAGGCATATCAGGTGTTCTCGTGATATCTTGACTTGATCATTATCCTTTAATATATATCTTCCAAATTGTCTCTCACTCAAATCTATTCCTTTATCAACACTGAGTCGTTGAATTTCTTGTTCTTATATGACTCCAATTATAGCGAAGCTCGGCATCATTTTTTCTGGGTGTATTAAGGAGAGTGAGAAGGGTAAACCTGGGTATCCACTATTACCCAAAAGATATCCGTGTAACTGCCGGGTAAAAATCTGGCTTTTAATGCGCTTTTAAAAATCATGCTGTCATGTTCTC